ACCCAGGACCCTAAGGCAAGCTCGACCGTAATGAGTATGCCTGTGGCGCACTTTACCTCGCTTCGTTTGGTCAAATAAACCTTTCCCTTCCAACAAAAATATAATTTGCCTCGTACACCACTGAACGTATCATAATTCATGTGTAGTGGGAAGCTCGTTTTTTTTTTGTTTTTTGAATTTCGCGCAAAGCTGCGCTAGCCGTCCCTAATTTAGCAGTGTAAGACTAGAGCGAAGGCAGCTAGTCATCACCACCCACCGCCAGCTCTTGGGCTACTCTGTTACCAACGAATAGTGGGATTGACCGTCACATTATAACGTCCCCACGGCTAAAAGGGCGAGCATGTTTGGTGTGACGAGGATTCGAACCCGCGACACTCAGATTGCGAGTCGAGCGCCTTAACCACCTGGCCATGCCGGGCCTGTAGTGGGAAGCAATAATTTTACCTCTTTTGATTCCAAATTGCAATATTATGGGTTGGAGTTAAAATGTTTGTCCTAAATGTCAACCTGAAAGATTCGGTTTGGCAATTTTATAACGAAAGGGAATTGTTTTTTTCGTCGCACAAACAAACTGGTATGCGCATTATTTCCTCTAAAAGCTGCAGGGGAAACAAAATAAAAATGTGTCATTTGTGTGTGTGTGAACAAAATAAACAGTGAATTTATTACTGTTGACTGAAAAACACGTAATATTGTTCGAGAACACAACAGTATTTGGTAATTCTGATGGGAAGAAGTTTTTCAACCATAAATGAATCCCATGCTTATACTTTGGCTCAGTTTTTAAAATATGGTATTTGGTATTTCCAACATTGACGGCACCTTATGCGACACATGGGCTAAATAATCAGGTCAGAGATCCATAGGTACAGGCAGAGCTGTTCCTAGTGTAGATCTAGGCCAGAGGGAGGCAATAAATGAGTAGCACCCACCGCCTACACGGCCACTGTTAAAGGAATAGCAGGATTGACTGTCACTTATGATGTGCCCACAGCTGAAAGTGTGGGGTGTGTTAACTGACATATTGCAGCTCAACCTTTAAACCTTCCAAACTACAAATAGGCACGCTAATCTGTAGGCCCACGATCGTACCAAACATTACAACGCTATAAACCGGGTTTCGATACCCGTGGTGGGCAGAGCACAGATAACCCATTGTGTAGCTTTGTGATTAACTTCAAAGAAACGTAAGAAACAGATCACATTTAATGTAATAAGTAAAATATTAGTACGATTCGCTATTACCTTAGAAAGGGCATGGAACAGTGGACGCCATTTGAAAAATGTAATAGCTTGCCGAATACATTTACATCCTGCGACGATACATTGAAATAAAGTCACTATTTTTTTATGCTTGCAAGCTGTATTAATAGATGATAATATTACTACAAATCAAATTTTGCTCACGAACGAAATAGTGTCATTCAAACGGAAATGTGCAGAAAAAATGCAATATGTGTTTTCCGTCTCAAAGTACATGACATAGTTAAATATTTCACCAAATGTTAAACCTAAGGCCTTTGTTCCACTGTGTTTGGATAAATCACAAAGAAGAACAATGAATGGTATAAATATACGGGTAACTATACTAACCCCATAATATACGTTGCGTTTTGAAACTCGGTGAATGTTTACGTTGCGTTATGAAACTCGGTTTTATTTATGTCTGACATTTGTATGCGCGATACCATTTAACCAAACACCAAAACAACAATTTAGAAAACTCAAGAAGTTGGCTTGGAAATCTCTCTAAGCTAAAAATTATGCAATTATTTCATAATAGATTATTCTTAGATCACTTCTATTTCATACATAGATTACGCCCCATTTCACTTATGTTCTTACTGGTTCAGCAGTAAGTTTGGTTTGTTTTGAATTTCGCGTAAAGCTACACGAGGGGTATCTGCGCTAGCCGTTCCTAATTTAGTAGTGAAAAACTAGAGGAAAGGCAGCTAGTCATCACAACCCACCGCTAACGTTTAGGCTACTCTTTTACCAACGAGTGGTGGGATTGACTGTCACATTATAATGCCCTCACAGCTGAAAAAAACGGGCATGTTTGGTGGGACAGGGATTCGAACCTGCTACCCACAGAGAGTACGTCGAGCGCCCTAACCACCTGGCCATGCCAGGCTTAAACTTACGGCATTACAACACTAAAGTCAGAGGTTAGATTTTCCACAGTGGACAGAGAGCAGATAGTCCACTGTGTTTATTTTCGCTAAGATATTAAGATAATTTTATTATAGGTTTGAAACAAACTAACAAACAGAAAAGAATTGTAAGAATATGAATTTTCTTTGGTTAAAAACGAAAAAAATAATCTTGCTGGTGATTTAAAGAAATAAAAAATGAATGTCATAGGTGGCCTCTTTAAGCTTTTCGGTTGTAATGTCTTAGTATTTTTCATATATTTTAATAGCGGGAAAATTTTCCACACAAGTTTAATTAACATCTATTGAAAGTTGCTTCTTGGAAGACAGACTGACACAGGGTTTATTGTATTTAGTTCTAACTTGTTACAGAATATCTATGTGACATACTGAGAAAAACAAAAGCTGATATTTTCCTGAACTACTTTACGTCAAGCACAAAGGGTAACGACCAATATATATATATATATATATTAAAAAAACATACTAACCTCAAATGAAACTCCTGGATTCCACATTTAAATATTGTTTCGATCACGTTCCTGAAACTCATAAACGCAGAACAGTTGTGGAACGCGCAATTCAAAATACTGAGTCAATACGTTAAGGCTAATAAATAGTATGACGTCACTTTGATGTGGGCGTGTATCTCCTTACGTACGTAAAATATAAAAATGTTTTGCCATTTCGCAAATTATCCATGTTCTATATAAGTAAATGACGTTTTCTAAGAACAGTCTGACAACCAAAAACACTTTCTTACCTGTTTATAAATGTGTTTACCCTAGATAAGAACACGATAAATTCCAGATTGATATTTAGTAGTTAAATAAAGCTAAAATACGGACTAGTTTGACGACCTTGGTACGTGTATTATCAGTAAAAGCTGTTAGAGTAATTAGTTTGGAAATACCTCAAGTTTCGAACCTTACTCCTTAAGTAAAGACAACGTTTCGATAATAAGACCAATAAATACGTGATACACCAAAAGGAAGTATTACCCCTCATTCCCTAGACAGGTTTGCATAAACCTTGCATCTTATTATTTATAGAGATCAACACTTCTTAACAGTATAGCAAGAGAGAGAGTTAGCATTTAACACTGTCTATAGGAGAGGATCCATTCTTCTTCTCATGGTAAGCCAATACTTGTTGAAATAATGTTATAGGAAAGTACGATTGTGAACAAAAATATACTAACTTTCATATTCAAAAACCGTGATGGTATAAAAGTATAATAACACTTAAATTTTCTTTAACTACACCGATTACAAATAGAAAAATCAACAGGAAAACATTCCATTATGCTGATAATTTCTGCCAGGAGTGACACAAAAACATGTACGTTATCCTTTGAATTTCAAATGTAGTGACGTAAATACATCCGTATGAATAAAGACATCACAATATCAATTTTAACTGTATCCTATATTTATAGTGTGGACCATATTTCAACACATCGCATTCAGATATTTAATTTTTTTTTATATATTAACAACTCTAGATTGTAGAAAAAAAAATGAAGAAAAAATTCGCCCACATAATATGAAAATAAATACAGACCATTTTACTGAAAAACAGCATCGAAAAGGCAGTGGGAGAACGAAACGTGGAGCAAGGTAGTTCGTAATTTTCTTAGGATATCAAAGTAATTTAGAATCCATAACATTAGGGTAACGTTCAATCTTCACAGAACATCACAACAAAGCTTCTAGATTGCTAGGATATCAAGCAGAACATCGGAATTCGTTCACAGTCTCAACTGTTTGATTTCAAGAAAATAACAAGCTGGCTTTATTAGTTACTTGTATACCAAAAAAAAGAACTCATCATTTTTAACAAGTGTTTATCATCATTACCGAGTTACATATATATTGAAATCTTATTTCTCTATTTCTCAAAAGAATCTAATGAAAACTTGAGTATTTAGAGTTGTTGCTATAGTTAGAGATCGGAGTTTACTGTATCGTGAAACTGATATTTGTTACTAGTGGGTAGTTTGGCATTACTGTAAGAGCACCTAATTAACGTATTTATTAAGGATATTGGAAAGTTTGGCTATTAAGCATGAGAAGATAGTTAAATAACTGATGAGCTACAAAAACTTAACGCTTTCATGTTGTTGATTCATATATGACAAAAGTGTTTCAGCTTGACTTTGAATCTATCTTCTCCATTTATTCTATAACAGTTTGTACTTCTTGACATGTTTTCAATAATTGTTTCTCGTAATAAAATAATATATTGGCCAGATTGGACTTTATGTTATAAAACCTATCTACTTGTTCAAACATTTTACTTTTATATGGGGTTGTTTGGTGATATAATTTTGTAGAGTTTTAAAAACTGATTTACGTATACAGTGTATAACTTGTTGATCTTTATAAACCAGATGAATGCATAATTATATTATTTCATTTAATGCATATTAGCAAAGAAAGATTCTAAATCAATATAACATGACAAATTTCTTGTTCAAAATGGATTTTTTCAAATGATTCACAACCTGGAATCTGGTAGATACATCATAATACGTACCCTAACAACGAAGGACAACAATGCTTGAATTGAGACTTCTTACGTTGTTGTTGAGACTCCTAACAGTTTCGACGTTCCTTCAGGATCTTGGAAAGTTTGATTTTTAAACTCAGTAAATCTGAGTTAAATATACGAGGAGGCGCAATTCCGTGAGTGAACTGCGATTTATTTTTTAAAAGACTGTTAGCTATCTCGGCTTTAATTTTTCCCCGTCAAGAAATTTTAACCCTTCTTATAACCTCAAGTGTGCAATGATACGCTGTTTAGACGTTAATTTTTTAAGATAAGTATTTTTAATCTGACTGATCAATTTTAAGTGTTGTCTTGTTATATTAATGTCGTAAGTGATATTAAAGCAACCTTGAACCATGTGGTTTTAGAACTAACTTAAATCTCCTAAGCTGGCCGAACCTCATGAGATTGTGTTAGGATTGCGACCGAAAATATCGCTAACAGCAAGTGTACCTAACTGATGATACAATGTATACTAATCAGTATAAATAACACTGAAAGAACAATATATGAAAATAGCTATATACACTATAGTGTTGATTTGTAGTTCTGATCTATGTAGGCATCTTGCTTTCATCAGAAGTGAAAATTAGTCCTATTTTGGACCATTTCTTTATGTGCAAAGTGAAAGAAAAACAACTAGATGAGTATCCTCTTGCAGGTTGGGCTTTTCTTACTAAAATTCTATTATATATATATGTATTGTAACAAATATACATCATAGTATTTGCATATTCCTGAAAGTATCTTATAGTGCTAATCTACCTCTGCAAATGCTATTCAAACTCGATTTCCCAGAAGGGGAATTTTTATAAAGGCTCCGATTTTTATCACATCAAGTACAATTTGTATTGAGACCATGACTCTTTTACACGTATTGAATAACTGTAGTTTGGCTTTGCCAAAAACGGAGCGAAACAGTAAAATAAGTAATGAGCTATAATTAACTTATGTTGATTAATGCCCCCGCCCAGTGGGTTAACAGTAAGGTTATTAACTTACAATGCTAAAATTCGGAGTTCGATTCCATGGTAGACAAAATGCTGATCGCCCATTGTGTAGCTTTACACCAAGGAAACAACATCAACAATGAGTAATATGTGGACCTTTTCGCTGTGGTAAATAAACAAACAAATACACTACTAGAATTGTTGTTAAAAATTCATTAATTACAAACAATAAATACTGATCAATTTACATAAGGTGTTATATGTATATACATTACAGTAATGGCCAGTCAGATACTTCTAAAATATAGGTTTAGCAGGCTTTAATTTTGAACTACTGACCAGAAGGAAGACAGCCAATCAGATGAATTCTCTCTAGCTACTAAACTTGTACGATAATATCATCTGAGCATCTAACTCTTGTGGCGTCATCTGGCGACAATTACAGTAACATAAAATTTAGATTTAGTACACGCCACGGTTTTTGGAAGTTGTTGTGGCTACAATATTACTTTCTATTTTTATATGGTCTTGGTGGTATGAATTACGAAATTCTATCAGTACAAGTTTTCTATGGTTATGTTGTTTAGGAAATTCTATCAGTACAAGTTTTCTATGGTTATGTTGTTTAGGAAATTCTATCAGTACAAGTTTTCTATGGTTATGTTGTTTAGGAAATTCTATCAGTATAAGTTTTCTACGGTTATGCTATTACGAAAGAATAGATTTCGAGATGTTACAAACACATTATCAAAATTCTGTTTTAATTTTTATGCTTTTTCTGAAAACTTAAATGTAGATTATTTGTTAAATATTTTTCTTATATTCAATCGTTATACAGGTTAAGATCTCAACTTTCTGGAACTATGTTCATGAGTATTAATTTACCAAGCAATTCTCAGATCACCCAGTATAATTAAATATCACTGTTGTTGGGGCCAACCGCAACCCACCGGTCAGCGTACTGGACTGGGGATCCGAGATTCTGTGATTCGCGCCCTGATATCGCTGAAAAGAAATCACACTACCCACTTTAGAGGCGTGGGTGCATTATAAAAACGACGATCAAATCTCTCTATTCAATTAAAGTAACCATTGAGTTAGGGGTAGATGGGCGGCTAGCGTAGATAGCCCCGAGTACCTGGACGAAATTCAACTAACAATAATAACACTCACTTGTGGGAGCTTCTTTCGTGTGAATTTGATTTTGATTTTTTTTGATTTGCAAAGAAAGCAAAAATTCATAAATTTTCAAATTATCAGAAACAGCTACAACTGGTTAAAAATAATGAAAGTTTTTAGCCGTTCCTAGTAAGTTTAGTTTTTTTTTATGTGCGAGATATTTTTTGCCCGTTTTTCTATTAATATTCACGAATATGCTCTAAATATTTAGTAGCGCCATCTAATGGAGCTCAGTATTTTTCGGTAAAATTTCTCGATTTCTATTATTATATACATATTTTAAACGATTGTAACCAAATACTTCTTAAGTAAAAGCTACAGATAAAGAACAGTATTATCATTTGTTTGGTACTCATGAAGTAAAAAGTGAAATTTGTTGTGACATACTTTCCATGTTTGTTTTTAACTCTATACAGAATATTATTTTTAACAGTATCGTTAACAGTTTATGATTCTATTCATTATGTAATTTCTGGAGTGCATATTGGTGCATAAAATACATTTAATATTAATAATTAAGTCGTTGTGCAATTTCACTAATTTTGTGTGAGGAAAATTACATAACCAGCTCTGCCCTTGGAGAAAGTCTGACAGATCCGATGAAAGTCTTCAAGTAACTACTCAATCCATAATGGGCTTTCTTTTTCAAGCTCTTGTAATGCACTTTAAATGTCTTATCTTAAAAGTTTTGCAGGTTATTTTAAGGAAACTGCACTCTGTATTTTTTCTCTTGAATACGAGGAAAACACATACAAATTGGTTAAAAATGAACAAAATCTCTGTAAGGATATTTAGTAGCGTTCATTTTCCAGTAAGTCAAGTCGAGAAACTTGGTAGAAATGTTCAAAGCAGCCCCTTTCAC